CCTTCTCTCTCTGTCTTTTCTTTGCTAGGGATGGACTCCAAGGCTTGCTACCACGAAGCTACACCCCTGGCCCTCTTGGTTGATTTTTTTTTCCTTTTTTTTCGAATCTGTAATGAGGTTTCAGGGTTCCAAATTCACAAGATTCAAGAAAAGTGGAGAACAAAATGTGTTTTTTACCCCTGTCCTTCTCTTCCTAGGAGGGATCCTGACAGTTGGCTTTAAGAAGCCAACTGGTTCTTCAGGAGAGATTTTTATCTTTCTATCTACGTCTTAACTGCTGCCCACCGCCCCACCCTCAAGCTGTAGCATGAGCTATGTTCAAGTGATGACCTACTTGAACATATATGGTAATAACCATATGTTATTACCGTAAATACTTCTAAGACGTGTGTGTGTGTGTGTGTGTGTGTGTGTGTGTGTGTGTGTGTGTGTACACATGCCACAGCATGCATGTGCAGAAGTCTGAATTGCTTGTGGGGGTTGGTTTTTCCATGTGGGCCCTAAGGATGAACTTAGCTCATAGGTTTCGAAGCAAGTGTCTTTTACTCACTGAGCCATCTCTCTGCTATGGAAATAAATCTTACCTTGCTCACTTGCTATCACAGAATAAAGAGAAATGATAAGGGGCTATGGTATATTCAGCCTAAAACATTTACTTTTAGAGGAATGTTCACCGGGACTCATTCTGGAAATAATCTTTTCAGAGTGAAAAAGTACTGGTGCCTGCAGTTGCCGAGGCCAGGTCTGTGTGAGCAACAGTATTGTCATGTCCAGAGAACAGTGTTCCGTTGCCTCTAGCTGGCATCATCTTTCCACTTCCTGTCTGTAAGGATTCCTGAGCCTTGAGAAGAAGTACGTGGTATAGACGTCTCGTTTAGAGCTGGGTACTCCCACTCTCTTGTTCTCTGTATGGAACAGCTGTGAGTCTTTGCCATCTACTTAAAAGGAAGCTTCTCTAATGAGCACTGAGAAATGCACTGATCTACGGGTGTAATGTTAAGAACTTAGAAAGAAGTTTAATTCTGTGCCCACTTAGTAGACTCATAGTAGGTAGTTCTCCCCTTGGGCCTATGACTTACCTAGCTACAGTAATCTTGACCCAGTTAACAGTACTAGACATGAATTTTGTCTTGAGGAGCAGAACTCTAATGCAAGTAGAAAGTGGTGGTTACTCCTCATCTGAGTTTCTACTGCTCTGATAAAGCATCATGGCCTAAAGGAACTTGGGGAGGAAAGGGTTGATTTGGCTTACAAAGCCTGGATCACAGTCCACCAAGGGAAGCCAGGGCAGGAGTCTAGAGACTGGAACTTGGAGGCAGGAACTGAAGCGGAAGCCCTGGAGGAATATCGATTATTGGCTTACTTAGTCTGCTTTCTTATGCAGCTCCGAGCCACCTGCCCAGGGGTGGCGTTGCTCAGAGGTATCACTCACATCAAGTCACCAGTCAAGAAAATGCCCTTCTAGGTCAATCTGATGGAGGCAACTCCTTCATTGAGATGACCCTTTCCCACATATGTCCAGGTTGACAGAAAGTAACAATCACACTCCCATAATATTCATGCCGCTATTACACCAGTACACACTTGGATATCTTGCCAGGCCAGTCCTTATTGTAACCAAAAGGTCCACAGCTGTTTAAAGCATTTGGTTACTTTTCTCTGCTGGTAATATGTGTTGAGCTTTCCAGCACCGTGGCAGCTGGCCAGTAGGGATGAAGTTTCCAGCTCGGTACCACTTGATTTCTCCATATTCTATGACTCAAGGATGCACTGTCTTAAGCAATGAGTCATTACCATCAAACTCTGGAGGGTAGCCAAGAGCAATGGCAACAGCCTGTGATGTTTAGGGAGGAAGTCTATGGGATCCCACTGACCAACAACTCAAAATGAAGCACTTTATAGCTGGGCTTTTTATTTGATAGCTCATGGTATCTGGGAGAGGAAATTCCCTCCTCATTATAGGGTAACACCATATAAGTATGTGTGTGTGTGTGTGTGTGTGTGTGTGTGTGTGTGTGTGATATACACACATATGTGTGATGTATATAGTTTAGGAAGTTTCTATAGTAGTTGCTTTTGCTTTTTTAAGGTTTTTGTTGTTAGTTATCCCTCCCCACACCCGCTCCTCTCTCAGCCCTCCTGCTCCGTTACCTCCCTTCTCTCTCCACACCACCTTCATTCTATGCCTTCTCCCTTGAACGCCCCCCCCCATGATCCATTATTATTTTCCTGACTTCTATTGGCACTCCAGTTTAAACACACATATGCAAAGATTCAAAGACAGCACCTGCATATGAGCGAGACTATGTGGCATTTGTCTTTTTGGGTCTGGGTTACCTCACTCAGAACGATTATTTCTAGCTCCATCCATTTCCCTGCAAATTTCATTTTTCTTCATAGCGGAATCGCAGCGCACTATGTATACATATGTGCCGTGCTTTCATTATCCATTAGTTGAGGGACGCCTCGGCTGTTTCCGTTTCCTGGCTATTGTGAATACAGCAACCATGAACATGGACGAGCAGGGATCTCTGTATAAGAAAATGGAGCCGTTTGAGTATTTGCCCAGTCATGGTATAGCTGGGTCTCGTAGTAGATCTCTTTTGATCTTTTTGAAGAACCTCCACACTAATTCCCAGAGTGGCCGCACCAGTTTACACCCACACCAACAGTGATTTCATGTCAGCACTTGTTGTAATTTTTAAAAAATCTTAGTCATTCTGACTGGGGTAAGATGAAATCTCAAAGTAGTTTTAATTTGCATTTCCCTGATAGATAAAGATGATGAACATTAAAAAAATATTTTTTTCTCAAAAAAGATTTATTTTTATTTTAACTGTGCGAGTTTGAGTGTAATCTGTGCACCATGGACATGCAGTGCCTGAAAAGGCCAGAAGAGGGCAGCAGATGACTTGAAACTGGAGTCATAGAGGCTATCTGGGCTTTTTGATAGCTCCCAGTGTCTGGGAGAGGAATTGCCTCCCTCATAGGGTAACTCCTTATAAATTTCATATATATATATATATATA